TTATGAAACAAGAATGTTCATGATAAAGAATCACTTAGCATTTAACATCTTGCAGTTTTACAAATTTACTTGAGTAATTTTTGCATTCAGAAAATACTCATTACATTTAGAAGTTGGCAAAATGTTGTTAATGCTATAGAGCACATCATATAAACTCTTATTACTCTTTTGTGTTTTTAAAATCTCATCTCTCTCTGCAGTTTTTTATGAACTAAAAATGATTAAAAATCTGCCACCACTAATATAATTAAATAGAGGGGGTATGAGGGTATTGGGGGGGGGGGGGGTATAAGGCACCAATACCATCAATATAAAGGGGATTTTAAGCATGGGATATATGGCTAACAAAGACCAGAAATGTAGAAAGTGGCATTGGTGATAGATAAAATGCTGCCATTGATTATCAGGGGTGCAGTATAGGGCAATGGCCACCAACAGAAAGTTCTTTGTACTGCACAAAGAAGTCATGGGAGTGGAGTGTATAATGAAGTAGAGAGTATAATGATTCAAATGTATTTTGAACAGAAGGCTTGCCTTCACCCACTTTTGACGTTCTGCCCCGTCTTGGTATGACCTACTTTGTGAACTCTCTTAGGTGTAAACTAATTTATTTGAGCACTGGAATCTTAGCTTGCTGTTCTGTCTTGATTTGACCCACTTTTCTGGAAAAGTGGCATTTCTTAGGGTAGCGGAACAGAATTACTTGGCTTACCTGTTGACTGCTTACTGTATGGCCATTGTTTATTGGGTTTGCAGACTATACCACTGGTTTGAATAAGGCCAAGATTTGTACTGCAATGTAAATGGGCACTTAACAAATGTATGTCAGTATGGCAGATGGATAAGACCAAGTGAAAATAAATTACTGCTGTACTACCATGCTGCTTTTCAATTTGATCCTGTTAGTCCACAAAATTTGGTGCCCAAAGAAACACCCACTTTTTTTTGTATTGCTAGATCATATCTGGATTAGAATACTGGGACACAGTGTAAATAAGCTTATATGAGATGTTCTTATTTCTACTAATAATAGGAGATGTTGGGATTGATTTATTAAAGGCAAATAGACTGTGCACTTTACAAGTGCAGTTGCACTCATTTTCACCAGAGCTTAGTAATGGTACTGAAGCTTCACTTTGTAAAGTTGTAGAGAATACCCAATCAACCCAATCAGGTGCAAGAAAAATAAAAAAACTGAATTTTTGTTTGCACCTCATGGTCTGGCAGTCTCCTTATATATTAAGCTTTGGAGCAACTGTACTTGCAAAGTTCACAATCTATTTGCCTTTAGTAAATCCACCACATTGTGAGTTTGTTTATAGTGATGCAATAACAGTGTTGATGTACCAAGGAGGAAGCTGAGTAACACAGTGACTGATGATAAAAATTGAAACATGTTTAGATCGCAGAATACTGGAAAAATGCTTTCAAACAGGAGTTGTTACTCATGATACCTGCTATAGGTAAGGTAGTAGAGAGATAGGAAGCGTATTCAAGGGAGGTTGCAGATTCCATTGAATTTCACAATTCAATATAAATAAATTACAGTTATTCACTCTTGAGAGGAGGCGCTTAGGAGGGGATTTGATTACAATGTACAAATATATCAAAGGTGACTTCAGTAACTGTGATAAGCTGTTTAACCACTTTACCGCCATCCTATGGCAGAAATATTGCTACAGGGCAGCAGGGGTGTACAAAATCATGTATGTATACGTGATTTCGCATTTCCAGGTAGGGGGCACACGCCCTTCCTGTGCCGCCATTCATGGCCTCGGCTGTAAATCACCTGGTCCCGGTAATACCAATGGGGGAGAGAACTGTATGTAAACAATACAGCTCTCTCCCCTGTCAGTTCCTGCACAATGCTTTGTATGGCTCTGCACAGCAGTGTGCTTACAGTAGAAAGCCCCATAGTGAAACACAAACAGCACACAGTTAACCCTTTGATCGCCCCAGATGTTAACCCCTTCCTGCCCAGTGTCATTAGTACAGTGTCAGTGCTTTTTATTAGCACTGATCACTGTATTGGTGTCATGGGGATGTCATTGACACCAAGTCAGTTCCCCCCAGTGTCAGAATGCCCGCAGCAGTCCCACTATAAGTCGCTGATCACTGCCATTACCAGTAAAAATAAATAAATGAAAAATTCCAGTATCTAAACTGCCATTTGCAAATGCTATAACTTTCACATAAACCAATTAATTTACACATATTGGGATTTTCTTTTAGCAAAGACGTAGCAGAATACATTTTGCCCTAAATTTATGATGAAATTTGATTTTTTAACATCTTTTATTGAACATGTTTAATAGCAAAAAGTCAAAAATATAGTTTTTTTTCTCAAATGTGTTGGTCTTTTTTTGTTTATAGCACAAAAATAAAAAATGCACAGGTGATCAAATACCACCAAAAGAAAGCTCTATGTGTGGGTAAAAAAGGACATACATTTCATGTGGGTGCAGCATTGCATGACCGTGCAATTGTCAGTTAAAGTAATGCAGAGCTGTAATGCAACAAATGGCCCAGTCAGGAAGGGGGGTAGATCCTCTGGAGGGCAAGTGTTAATCTAAACTTCCTAAAGAGGACACACATCCAGGAGTTGAGGTTAGAAGAAAGAAGGTTAAATGTTAGATTGAAGAAAGGGTTCTTTACTGTTGGAGCAGTTAAGACGTGGAACCTTCTCCCCCAGGAAGGTCTTCCTTAGCAGAATTTACAGGGCTATATGAATTGAGAAAAAAAATTAAGTTTACACACATACTGTAGGTTGAACTGGATGGACCTGTGTCTTTTTTCAACCTTATAACTATGTAACAATGTACGAAACTTTGATAACGTGTAACAATTCATCCTTTTGGTTCTTTTAAACCTGCTTAACTACCAACAGGAAGAAAATGTTCCCATCAAATTTTGCAATACGTTTGCACTGTTTGTATAACATTAGAATTGCTGTCTGTCATTATCTTTTGTGTGCTTTTTTTTTAAAGCTGTTTTATTTGAAAAATTTTCCACACTTGACTTTGTTTTTCTTTTTTTCAAATCGCAGTAAGGTAGATTCATTCTTTTGAAAAATTGCATATTATTGTCTTAATAAAAGAGAGAACATTTTTTTCTTACTAGAATGATCAGTTTAGCAATTAATCACTGCAAGTGGAGACCTGCAGGTTAATATTTGCTCAAAAGGCAGCAGGCACATGGGTCATATTGGTATTGGTTGTCTTTGTGCTATTCTGAGTAGAAATCATTTCACTCCATTCCCTGTTTGAACTAAACTTGCTGATATTTGCAAAAGGTATATTTGGTGACATATATTTTGGAGAGAAGCCAGTTTTCTGCAGTTATTTTATTAATGCATCCTGAATCCACTCACATGGCAGATTGTTCCATCAGGTGCAGAATTATAAATAGAACAAATGCATTGTCATCAATTAGTTGCTGTATTTTAGAACTTTCTCATGTCATTGACATATTTATGAGAGTTCGGTAAATATATAGCTGGATTTACTCAGAGGCAAAACTTTGATTTTTTTTTCTGCAATATCACAACTGACTAACGTTGGTACTGAGTCAATTACACCATATTGCCAAAAGCATTGGAACACCTGCCTTTACATGCAGGTGAACTTTATTGTCATCCGAGTCTTAGTCTTTAGGGTTCAATATTGAGTTGGCCCACCCTTTGCAGCTATAACAGCTTTAACTCTTCTGGGAAGGCTGTCCAGAAGTTTGAGGAGAGTGTCTGTGGGAATGTTTGACCATTCTTCCAGAAGCGCATTTGTGAGGTCAGGCACTGATATCGGACAAGAAGGCCTGGCTCACAGTCTCTGCTCTAATTAATCCCAAAGGTGTTCTATCGGGGTTGAGGTCAGGACTCTGTGCAGGCCAGTCAAGTTCCTCCACCCCAAACTCGCTCATCCATGTCTTTATGGACCTTTCTTTGTGCGCAGTCATGTTGGAACAGGAAGGGGCCATCCCCAAACTGTTCCCACAAAGTTGGGAGCATGAAATTATCCAAAATGTCTTGGTATGCTGATGCCTTAAGACTTCCTTCACTGGAACTAAAGGGCCAAACCCAACCCCTGAAAAACAACCCCACACCATAATCCCCCCTCAAGTACATTTCTCCTGGCAACCACCAAACCCAAACATGTCCATTGGATTGCCAGACAGAGAAACGTGATTCGTCACTCCAGAAAACACGTCTCTGGTACTTTAGAGTCCAGTGGCGGTGTGCTATACACCACTGCATCCGACTCTTTGCATTGCATTTGGTGATGTAAAGCTTGGATGCAGCTGATGCAGCTGATCAGCCATGAAAACTCATTCCATGAAGCTCTTTACACATTGTTGTTGTACTAATCTACATGAACTTTGGAGGTCTTTCGCTATTAACTCTGCAGACAGTTGGTGAATTCTGCGCACTGTGTGCTTCAGCATGCGTTGACCCCACTATGTCATTTCACGTGGCCTACGACTTCGTGGCTGAGTTGCTGCTGTTCCCAGTTGCTTCCACTTTGTTATAATACCACTAGCAGTTGTAGAAGCAGTCTGCATGTCTAGGTGCTTGTTTGTTGTTTTACACCTGTGGCCATGGAGGTGATTGGAACACCTGAATCCAATGATTTGTAGGGGTGTCATAATACTTTTGGCAATATAGTGTATAACAGCCTTTGATGATGTATTGTTAAGATGGTGTTAAAAGACCAGAACAAAATGACTCCCATATCACTGGTTGTTCCTGTAAATTAGTATACAATGGGCACAATTTACTAAAGCTTATCGCACGAGTTAAGTCAGTCACATGACCACATATTGCATGCGATACTGAAAATGTCAGTTCACTATTGCTAGTATGCGGTATTTACCGAATATAGCAAAAACACACTTGGTAAATACCACATAAAAGGACCTTAACCGCTGCACCCGCCATATAGTAATATGACGGATGCAAGGTGGTTCTCTCGCTCTGGGACGAGATGTCCTCCCATTTTAACCACACATGTGCGGCTCCCAGAGCGCGACAATCGGTGGTGCGCTGTGTCCGAGATCATCGATCCATGGAAAGAGCCGAAGATGTCGGCTCGGTCATGTGATCAGCTGTGTCCAATCACAGCTGATCATATGTAAACAGGGAAATGCCGGTTATCAGCATTTCTCTCCTCACGAGCTGTCACGCTGAAGCTCGTGAGGAGAGGAGAGCTGGTAATCGGCATTCCTCGGAGGGGACATGTACACAGATCATCAGAGCACTGATGATCAGCGTGCCCTGATTATCTGTGTAGCCCCAGCAGTGCCACCTGTCAGTGTCCAACAGTGCCAGCTCTCAGTGTTCATCCATGCCACCTGCCAGTGCCACATCAGTGCCACATTTTAGTGCCCATCAGTTTCACATCAATGCCACCTATCAGTGCCCATCTGAGCTGCCTTTCAGTGTCACCCATCAGTGCCAGTCAGTGCCACCTATCAATGCCAGTCAGTGCCACCTATCAGGGCTGCCAGTCAGTGCTGCCTATCCATGCCAGTCAGTGCCACCTATCAGTGTGCATCAGTGCTGCCTATCAGTGCTGCCTAACAGTGCCAGTCAGTGCCACCTAACAATGCCAGTTAGTGCCACCTATCAGTGTCGCCTATCAGTGCCATATATGAGTTCTGCCTTTTAGTGCCCATCAGTGATGCCTGTCAATGCCCATCAGTGCCACCTACCAGTGCCTCCTCATCAGTGCCCATCATAGCCACCTATCAGTGTCCATCAGTGCAGCCTATCAGTGCCCATCACTGCAGCCTCATTAGCGCACATCAGTGAAGGGGAAAAATCACTTATTTACAAAATTGTATAACAAAAACTAAGAAAAGATTTTTTTGAAAAAAATTTTCAGTGGTTTTTGGTTTGTTTAAGAAAAAATAAAAAACACAGAGGTGATTAAATACCACCAAAATAAAGCTCTATCTGTCACAAAAAATGACAAAAATTTCATATGAGTACAGTGTTGCATGACCGCGCAATTGTCATTCAAAGTGCAACAACGCTGAAAGCTGGAAATTGGCCTGGGCAGGAAGGGGGTATAAGTGCCCTGTAGGCTAGTGGTTAAAGTCAATTCACAAAAGGAAATAAATAATTAAATGCATGCGGTAAGTAAGTAGTGTTCCAGGCATGCGGTATGTACTGGTATCTGTCAGTACTGTCATGAATTGTTAAGAAATGGGGGAGTGCAGAGTCCATGACAACCTATGAGTCATCGTCCAAATGTAGAAAAAAAAATTGCCGGCAATTAAAAAAAATTAAAAAAAACGTGGGGGGGGGGTCCCACCATCCATAACAAGCCCTTAAGGTCTGGTATGGGTTTTTAGGGGAACCCCCATGCCAAAGTTAAAAAAAAATGGTGTGGGGGGTCCCCCCAAAATCCATTCCGGACCCTTATCCAAGAATTCAGCATGGAAGGTCAGGAAAGGGGGGACGAGCGAGCGCGCCCGCCCCCTCCTTAACCATATCAGGCCATGTGCCCTCCCAACATGGGGCGGTGCTTTGGGGCACGGGGACTTCTCTCCCCCCAAATAATCTTGTTGATAGGGACAAGGGCATCTTCCCCACAACCCTGGCCGGTGGTTGTGGGGGTCTGCGGGCGGGGGGCTTATCGGAATCTGGAAGCCCCCTTTAGCAAGGGGATCCCCAGATCCTGCCACCCATGTGACAGAATGTGGGGTACATGGTACCGCTACCCATTCACAAAAAAAATCTGTAGTGTGAAAAAAGACAGTCAGTCTTTGACAAGTCCTTTATTAAAAGATGAAAAATAAAAGAATTTCCCCCCGAAGTACATCCAACATCAATCACGATGCCTGCTACCGGCCTGCTGTCTGACTGCTCCGCTGGCTTAACAGTTGTTAAATATGTAAAGGGCGGGGCCACACGGTGACATCAGGTGTGTGACTCTGCCTCCGTGTGATGTCATCGACTGAGGCATGCTGGGTCATGTCACAAAGGGGCGGGGTCATATACGACCATTACATATTTAAGAACTGTCAAGCTATTGGAGCAGTCAGATGGCAGAAGCCAGCATCGAGAGTGGAGCCTTTTTCTTTTTTTTTCCTTTTTGGGTCGGCAACAGCAGTGGGCATCATGATTGATGTTGTATCTACTTTGGGGGACATTCTTTTGTTTTTTGTTTTTTTTTAATAAAGGACTTGTCAAAGACTGTCTCCTGTCTTTTTTCACACTACATTTTTTTTTTGTGAATGGGTAGCGGTACCATGTACCCTATACTCATTCACATGGGGGGGCTGGGATCTGGGGGCCCCCTTGCTAAAGGGGGCTTCCAGATTTTGATAAGCCCCCCTGTCTGTGGACCCCAAAACCATTGGCCAGGGTTCGTGGGGAAGAGGTGCTTTGGAGGGGTCTGGTATGGATTTTGGGGGGGACATCCACACCATTTTTAATACATTTTGGCATGGGGTTCCCCTCAAAACCCATACCAGACCCGAAGGGCTTGGTATGGATGAAGGGGGGTACTCTGCCAGTTTTTTTAAAAAAAATTTAATTGCTGGCAATTCTTTCTTTTACATTCAGCTGTCAGTGGGGAACCGTGCTGACAGCTGAAACATTAACGCATGGTTTTCATTACTAAAATACATGACTTGTAATGTTTTTAGTGAATTAATAACTTTTTTTTAACTGCTGTGGTATCCTACCGCATACTCGGATGCGGTAAAATACTGCTTAGTGAATTGTGCCCAATATGAGTGTGTTTGATAACATAGTACAAAACCTGTAACAAAATAATTTTTATCTGCAGCACATAGTATCACCAGAATGCTGAAAGCAGATTTGTACTTGGTTACTACGGTTTAATGCACATGGCAGATTTTGTACAGTAGAATTGCTCCTATATTGTTTTATTATGCAATGTTATGGTGCACATCCTTAGACAATATTCCAGGAATCAAAAATAAGCAATGCAAATTATAGTTTGGGAAACTTGACACAGCTGTATCCTGTTACTGGAACATAAAAATATACTGACCGTTTAGGACTTGGAGGAACTGAAAACCTTTTTCACACTCTAGCGCTGGTAGAATAAATTGCACAAATAATGTAAATTCAACATTTGCTATTCAACATTCAAGTTGCTATTTGCCTTGAAAGGCAGAGGAGACACATATACTGTTTACATAGGATTCAATTTGCCTTGTGATAGCTATTACTCATCACCATAGCAGCATTCTGAGAGTCACCATGACTGGCTCCATGGCTCGTTTTTTTTCTTTCTGTTAAAGGCCACATACAGTATAAGAGATTCACCAAATTATTTATCTGTTTATTATGGTCAGTTACACACAAGAGAATGTATGCTTTTAACAGGAGCTACTTGCCTCCTAAAATTCTATTGCTTAATAACTGGGACAGCAATGTACCCAGTCCTCATTCTCTCTCTCCCCCTCCCCTTCTCCCTCCCCCTCTCATCTCCCTCTCCTCTCTTTCTCTCCTTTACATGAAGTGTAAAAATTAAAGCAGTATTAAACCCAAAAACAAAAAATTTAATATACTGAAACTTACCAATATTTAGGTGTGGTGGTTGCATTCATTTTTTTCTTTAGTCTTTTTCCTCTGTTTTCACCTGGTGATCTGGCTAGTAACACACCTCCTGTATTAGAGTGTCTCCACTCTGAATGAAGCAGCATAGGGGCACCTTTGGACAGCAGCATTATTAATCTGGGGGTAGGGAAGTGTTATATGGAATAGCAGATTTATATATACTAACAAATTGAAACCAAGCTCCAGCTAACACTTTATAATCAGTTACAGCAACAGTTTTTTTTTCTTTTGGAATATAGGTTTTACATAACAGTCAGGAAGTGAGAATACAATTCTTAAACTTTTAGGATTATCCCAATTAAATTAGTAGGTATGATGTCCAATGGTTATGGTGGTGCAACTCACATGACATGTATGCGTTCTTTGAGCATCTGTTTAAGAGTGAATACAATGTGAGCAGGTTGTTTTCTTTGAAATTCAGATTCTGAATCTGAGGAAGCAGCTGGCAACACTTTAAAGCCTAGCCAACCTGAAAGCAAGTTTGGACCATACCCATTATGTGCTGTCAGGGGCCAGCACAAAGGCAGGAGGGGATTCAGAGGTGCTGGCTCCGGAACAGATAAGCTGGGTAATACACTGGGTAGAGAGAAAAGCATTAGGGAGGTCAGTCTTGAGCAATCACATCCCAATAAGTACTGATGTTGGGTTGCATGATGTTTGGGTGGAAAGTCAAGGAGTGACATTGCTAGAGCTGAGTGACTCCACTAGCTGCCAGGGGAACAACTCTTCCAGGGAGGGCAGGGGCACGGCTAAAGGTAATGATAGACAGATTCTGGTGGTAAGGGATTCAATTATTAGAAGGACAAATAGGCAATCTGTCACAAGACCATGATCACCGAACAGTATGCTGTTTACTTGGCACTCCTGTTCAGCACATAACAGATCAGATGGACAGATTGTTGGGTGAGGCTGGATAAGACCCAGCTGTGTTTTGGTATACATTGGTACCAATCACAAAGTAGAGGAAGGTGGAGTGTCCTAAAAAAATGTTTCAGGGACTTAGGCGCTATATTGAAGAAAAGGACCTCCAGGGTGGTATTTTTGGAAATGTCTGTGCCTCTAGAGGCAGCAGAACATTAGGAAAGTTTACAAGTGGTTAAGAAGCTGGTGTAGAAATTAGGGTTTTGAGTTCTTCAAGAACTGGACTAACTTTTCAGTCAGTTACCAGCTCTATAGTAGGGATAGACTGCACCTAAATGGGGAGTATGCAGCTCTGTTTGGAGAGAAAATGTCCAAAAAGTTGGAGGGACTTTAAACTAGGTGGTGGGGGGAGGGATCAGAGGATGCGAAGCAAAGGTCGGAGGGTGCTGCTGGAGACAATAGTGGTAGTATATACAGTATGTCTAAACCAAAGGAGGGTAGGCTGGCAGAACACCTAAGGAGACACCTAAGGAGAAGACCTGGAGCTGCTGATGCATGAGGAGGATTTCGACTTTGTGGGAATATCAGAAACCTGGTTTGACAGCTCACATAAATGTCTAGCAGTTGTCAAGGGGTACTCCTTGTATTGAGGGAGAGAAAGGGGTAAAAAAGAGGTGGGTGTCTCTATATCAGGGATAATTTAATAGTGAACTTGAGGGATGACACAGCTAGTGGGGAATAGGGAGGAGGTTGAATCCCTGTGGGTGGAGCTTTAATGGAAAGATACACATGGGAAATTAATAGTGGACATATGCTACAGGCCCCTTAACTTGAAGAATTAGAAGGAGTCTGACCTCTTGTCACAGTTAGGAATGGTGGTGAGGCAGGGCAATGTAATCATAATTTCAACTATCCAGATATCGACTAGGCCAACGGCACTTCTCACTCATTTAAGGCTTGCCATTTCTTAAATGTCTTTCAGGACAATTTTATGTGTCATTTGGTGAATGCCCCAACTAGAAAGAATGCATTATTAGATTAATGAATTACAAATAACATAGATCCGAGGTAGAGCAGAGGTGGAAATAAGGGACAACATGGGTAACAGCAATCACATGGTAATCATATTTAAAGTAAACCATAGTAGAAGGAGGCACGAGA